ACCTGCTGGGCCGGGTATGCCATTGTTGCCTTTTCGTCCTTGTTCACCAGGTCGGCCCATTTGGCCAGGTGGGCCTTGTGGACCAGCTGGACCTGGTGGTCCCATAGGGCCTGGAGGGCATCTGATGCAGCTGGGATCTGGAGGTGGACAACGGATGGGCTGATAGACTGTCGTGTCGTCTCTTCCTGGTGGTCCAGGCATTCCAGGGTTTCCTAAAAAGATACCTCTATGACTGAAGTTACAGAATCTAGAATTTTTCAAACCTGGCAATCCCGGTGGTCCCGGAGGACCAGGTGGTCCAGGTGGGCAGGTAATCGGCGTAATTTCGCAGACACACCAGGGTGGAAGAGGCTGTCTTTTGCGTCGGAATATGGAGTCAAACGGATTTTTCGGACGTCTAGAATCTGGCGCAATCGCCAACTGCACATCCATCATTTCTATCCAGGCGGAATCAGTTTCTGTGCGAAAAACGGCTACTCCGTCCAGGACCTGAACGCAAGGATCTTTTGGCGCTAAATATTGATATTCAAAGGGCTTACCATATTCTGGATCTCGTTCATCTCCTTGTACAGCTTTGGAATAGCTATCAGACAAGCTACCATAGCCAATATGGCTCCAGTCGAAGCCACCGCCATCACCACCTTCTCCACACCCATCGTGGAAAAGCGAGTGAGCTGTGGTTGCTCATTCCACACACTCCCTTTAATAGGCGCTTACTCTATACTCAACTGGTTCCGCTTGAGAATTCTAAGACTTTTTCTCGGGTGCGAAAAACATAATGAAGAGTTTTCATACACGCTCGGCCACGTATTGCTCCTTATGGGATTGTGATCACCAGAGTGGAACCTGTGCCCTAAAAATCACAATCATTTTCCTCAAAACTTAATTGTACGCTTTGCAGGAAACATCAGAAAATGCAAGCAAAGTGCATACGTAACAGGATTGAGTGTTTGTTCTCATGTAGGTTGTGGTTCCAGGTAATTGCGCTATAAAGCAAATCATAAGTTTTAAAATGTGATTCTCTATTCAATCTCGCGTCTGCGGTTTTCTCTGACCATAAAAGCATAAATAGGCGGTAATTTTCTTGAGGTCACTTGCTTTACGATCGTGTCCTTCACTTCAAATAGAATTTGATATTTGGGAAATTAGTAAGAGCGATGTAATTGCTTGCTTCACAGTAAAAATTTCAAATTGCTTGTACCAATGTCTCGCATTTTTTCAACATTCGCTACGGACCATTTTGATAGGTTGGCAAAAATAACTACAGTTTTGAGGTGTCTCTACTATTATATGTTAGGTTTTTGATAGTCTCCAA